GATTCCACACTAGTGTATCAGCACGAGTGCTTATGGAGAAAGACGTCTCTATGTGGCTCTCGAATTCTCAGGTTTCTTAGCGCTAACGAGAAGATGTTGAATGAGCCGGTCGTATTCCTCGTCGATGCTATCTACAGCGGCGTCTTCCCAACAGCCGAGTAATCAGTAGAATAAATCCCAATTTGTGGTGGTTCTAGGAGTTCGGTTTTTGAATTTAGCGGTTTTTTCTAATTTTCGCGAGAAATACAATTTAGCACAAAGGAGACGGTGATCTGGTCCCATGTAGAAATTTGGGACAACAGCGACATCCGGCAGGCAAATCCTTTTATTTACTATGATGTGGTCTATTTTGTTACGGTACTATCCATTGGGAGACTCTCACGTGCAGCGCTGAGGGTGGGACTTCCGGAATTACGAGTTACCATAGATGGTCTTGGTCCCAATGATAAACTCAGATAGCCGCTCACGCTGTTCATTCCATTCTAATCCACGGCTCCTAATGTGACGCTCCTCAGACGTTCTTCTTGGTCCATTCTTGGCGTTGAAATCTCCAATGATGATCTTAAAGAATGCATAGTCTTCTCTGTCGAACTTCTCTAAGACCACGCAGAACGCTTCGACTTCTTCTTCATCATAGTTTGATGTCGGTGCGTAAACGACGAAGATTGTCAAAGCCGGAATTGACCCACGTTTTCATAATCGTAAACGACCGATTCAGGTTGTAAGTTGTTCGAATGAATCGATGTTCATGGACAAACTCGTGTTGAGGAGAACGCCGACGCCGCCGACTCCTCTACTGCCGCATGTTCCGAGGAACAGTTCTTTTCCAGTGTCATAGACGGCGTTGAAAGGCTGGCGTCTTCTCGTCTCGGCCAGGCCGATGACGTCGCACCTTATCCTTCTTGTTGCATGAGCAAGTTTTCTATCGAGGACTCGGATGGAAATGTAAATGTATTGTAGGTACAGATCGTGTCCATTGCTCTTCGTGATCCAGGCAATTTCCATTGGCCCTGAAATTTTAGTAGCCTCTCCATACTCGTCCTACCCAACGCTGCAAAATCGAAGACTGTTTCGGGGTCAGGGGAATAATTCCCATTTTTTTTTACTGTGTTTAGCATTTTTGATACACACGTATAGCTTGCTGGACTCTGAACATGCGGGCTGGGAGTACTCACGGGCAGCTTACCGAGCTCTCCCGGAGTTGACATGGAGCTCATTCGTTGGAGGCAACTCCTAATTGCTTCCCATATACTTCGCTGTCACTTGATTGCAGGTTTTCGCCCGAATTGACTCGTAGAATACGATCCGCATAAAGCGATAACGCACCCACGCACGCATGTATGAATGCGCTTAGCAAATAGAGAAATTATGTGCCAAATCGGGCAGGAGATACAGGGAGTCTATCCCCTGTATCTACCTGCGTCTCAGAGAAGCAAAGGTCGCTTTTGGCCTGCGAATAAGCGCTACCCGCTACGTGGGAACACGCCCCGTAGCCTCGTGACTGTCCGGATCGAGATCCTTATGTGAGAGAGATTCGTGGCGTTTATAAGTGATAGGAACTAAATGCTAGCCGAACAATGCCAGTTAAAAATTGTCATGCGCTTAAATATACATGAACTCCGTAAAATGGACTGAACTCTGCTATAAAGGATAAAGGATAAAGTTCTCAGCGTTGATCAATCCCTTAGGGATGTGCCATGCATTCGACTTCGTTATGCATCGTTGGAGATGATTGAATGCATACCTAGCCTTTATGTAACGCTCGGTAGTCTACCTATGTATTGAGCCAGTGCTGCTATCCTCCTGAACAAGTCTGGCACCAATCTGCCGACCCTAGAGGGCTGGAAGGCTTGGTGGCCCAGGGGCAGAGGGAACGATCCTGTGTGTGCTACAGGGATCCTCCAACCACTGCGCTACACGTACCCTTTTGTTTGTAGTGCGATCAAAATTCACTGACCTGTTAAAAGCTCAGAAATGTCATCACATTCTTGAAAAGGTAGGATTATTCGGTTTAGAACTAGCTGAGATACATGCAAATCGAAGGACCCGGATGGTGTAGTGGTGAAGTGCGCTGCTCCCCGGTAAGGACAACAGCGCGTGTTCATTCCCCACTGCATACACCTGTGGTCCGGAGTTTTGCAAATATCTCAGCACTTCATACGAATTATTCGGTTTATCTGAAAAAAAGAAAATGCCCAGTCTTCAGAGGAAAACTTGTTAAACACCTTTGTGAAAACATTTTTTCCGTTAAATGTATAACATTAATTAGTAGAGGTTTTTCGCCCTTATCATTTTGAGGTTTTTAGATCCCACAATTATGCTCTAGGACAAATCAGTTGATAAGCCAATGCTCTACGCTTCGTTCAAAAAACTCCTACCAATTGGTAGACTTCCACTGGTTAAAAGGTAAGGGACGTTGAAATCCTGTGCGCAGGTGTGAGACGATTTCTCTCTTGTATTTTGTCTTATTTTCTCTTAATATCACAGCATTTTTTTCCTAGTATTTACCACCATAATGGCAGGAATTTGTTACGCCTGATATTGGTGGTATTGATTGGACCAAATTGCTGAGATTGTAGTTCCCTTTTTTGAAACCCTAAGAGAGATACCCTTGAGCGCTCGGAACTTTGAAGAACGTGTTGATTAAACCGGACTACCAGCGACTTATCGCTTCGTCGATGTTCCTTGGAGACGGTCTTCGGAACAACGACATATAGCAAGCGTGCATCTACCGCCAACGACTTCCAATTTGATCAGTTCGACAATTTCTTGCCGAAGTCCAGCTATTTGCCAACTTATGACACCACAGAGCGCAGTTATCCGATGGTGACTACTCTCCTGGTAATGTGTTGAAAGCGAAGAGCCTCAGATGAAAATCATGATGTACTTCGAGCAAGCGAAGCCCACGGGGAAGGTCTGATGGCAAATTATTGAGGCCGATTAACAAGACGTTATAAGTGGCTCACATGTGACTGACAAAGAATGGGTTACTTGATAAACACACACAGCCCTCTTCGTCGTTGTAATCACAACTACCGGTGAAAAAACGCGCATGCGAAGTCTTGCATCGACTTCACTCCCTAGTTTTTCGTATCCTTACAATCTCAATGTGGACGCAACTTCATCCTAATTTAGGACACTGGAGTCGTTGGTTTCTCCACCAAATTCGCTGGTGTTGTAATACCTACAAACTTCTAGATAATGTATTTTGCGTATGCTGTGACATTAACAGAACCAGGTACATAAAATTCATGTGAGTGGTTACTGAAAAAATGGTTGCGATCTTTTTTTGTGGTGAGCACACACCAGGTTGTTACCTTACTGTACTTTGCCTTAATTTACTTCTTTTTTAGTAAAATAACACCCTGTTGTGTGTTTATTAAGGAAATGCCTTAATTTTCCTACACTTTAACTGAGACATCCAAATAAAGCCTAGTGTACCCTGTCAAGTTACTAAGCCTAAAAGGGCGGAAAGTTTACGGACAGGAACACTGTTCACAAATAAGCAGAAATACTTAAGATGTGCACCAGGTTTAAAGTTCATCGATTTCATTTACTAGAGGCGAGACCTTTAGTAGTACTAAAGGATAAGACTCTCAGTATTGATCAGTCCTTGACATGCTGTGCATTCGGCTCCATCAAACGTTACGGCTGACTGAATGTGTGTGTGGTCTACACAGTCATCACTTGAATGACTTGCCTACTGATGACTCAAATCAGTACTACTGTACTCCCTAACAAATGTAGTGGCATTTTGCCAACCCGGTGAACTGGAAGACTTGGTAAGCCCGGGGCGCGTGATCGAACCAGCGACCACGTGTGTATTGAAAGGCGCTTCTAGCTACTGTGCTACAACCGCCCCTCTAACCTCAGAATTAGGGCTGTAAGTCATCTGTGCAGTTACAACTAAAGTGTAAACATATTGCGCGATGGATAAATGGCACAAAACATGTTGACTCTTGGCGAAAAGGGCTTTCTGTTTCGTATCCTTCAGATCCCTTGTAATAAACTCATGATTAACCACTGTTCGTTCAACATTTTCCTTAGGTTTGGTCAGTTCATTTAAAATACGATTTTTTTGTTACCAACACTTTTCTAAAAGTTACCCAAAACACTACTCGGTAAGCAACGTTCTCGCCACATTTGTGCAATTACGGTTATTGCTGTAGTTTGTAACTAATTGAATCGCTTTGATGTTTAACTCGTCTGCTCAAAGTTCATCTTGCAGTCATTGTAACTACAACCTAGCAAGTCAGACTTGGTTTTCTGTTTTTCGATTTGATCGGAAGGGAATCGTAACTCCTCAAGAGTAGTCTTTTCCCTTCCCAAGGCGTCTTCTGGAGCTGCTCATTCTGGTGTGAAAGATTAGAAGTTTCACGAAAAGTGAAATCGTGCACTTTCTTTTAATTGGTTAAGAGAGAACTACTGAAAGCGAACCGTAGAGACTTATCAAGAAATAAAGGCCAATTAAGTTGAACCTCAAAAAACACTGCGGTGCATTCAGAACCGCTTTACTTGTTTTTATCCTTTATCCTTCATAAATCTATCGACTCGCAGAGTGTACCGAGTCATGTTGGATTGCTTTGAAGCTCTCTATATTACTGTAATTCTTGATCAGATTAATCACATTTACCTATTTTATGTTTAAATCGTACCAAAGTCTTTTAGTAAAATAATAGTAAATACGGGAAGCGATCTTCAGTGTTTGGGGTTACGATCAATTCTGAAAAGCTTACAAGGGATGGTTAAAAGACCTTTTTAGTCGTATTTATTGTTTTATTCAATACTGAATATCTTATCCCATAAACGAAAACCGAGTTGGTGCGAAGTTTTTTGCTGAACTTCCTGCTTCTGGCCAATCCCAATCAGTTCGCCACAGTGCTGCCCGCTCTAAAAGTATTGTAATGGCCTCACTAGTTGCCTGCATTTGTATGTAGATGGTGTACCTTAAGATCAACGCACGATTCGGGATGAGCTTCATGATTTCCAATGGAATCCGCTTAGCAACAAACCGACTCAATGGTAGCGTCCTACGAGTCAGCATGTTTTTTTGTCGCATTAAACAGAAAAACGGCCATACACCAGAGGTATGATGCTCTTCAGCCCGTAACCAATAAAAGGGTTGAAAAAAAGGAGACTGAACCGCCATGATGTCCGACGGAAACGATTGGAGCATGATGGTAGTTGCTTAGGTTTTTCGATGATTACATTAAAATCGATAGTTATTAGATTGCAGGAGATGCGTATAATACTGTGCTAAAAAGAAGTGACGAAAAATTCCATTACAATTTTATCCACTTGGTTAGGATGCGTTATATTTAGCGAGAGCGACTACTACTTCATCATTGTATCGGAGAGCTTCACCATATCTTTCAAATAATCCAAGGTGCTGGGCTTCTCGCATTCTTTCGGTCCGCCGTTGTGAAGGCGCGCCATCGCTTCACAAAGATCCGTAGCAGTAGCAGGACATCTACCTTTGTAGTGGTCATGATATGACTGAAATCACCACTCTGCTTTTTCCAGTTTTCAAATATTTTTTCCGTTCAAAGAATACAGATTATTTTAGCGCTTTTCGTTGCTTTCTGCAACATAGAACGGCATTCGAGTACCTAGATGTGAGTTCTGTGTTCGCATAATCAATGCATATGTTTTCTACAAGCACGAACAGGAAACAACTCTCCACGAACGTCCTATAGTAATGATATCAACTACATCTCATACCATAACGCATTTAGTGGAGCAGTCATAGTTATCAGTACATCTCTTCCACGCACGCTGTAGTGACATCTTCTCCGGGCTGGCGACCAGACATACCGCAATCCATGTAGCTATTTTATCTAATAAATTAGATGTTTCCAAAAATTTGCACTTGATTTGCGATCGAACAGTTCAGTTACAAAAGTGGAAGAATAGGGGATGAAGCGCTTGGCTTTGATTAAGCCTTCGGTAATGCCCAACCCAGTAAATAAATGCATATTTGTCCTATTCAGTGACTTGGACTAACCACAATGTATGGTGTTAGTACGCAAGTCATGCTTCTCCGACTCGCTGGATCGAGGCAATAGCCATGTATGTGTTGCAGTACACCTTCTAACCACTGCTCTACATTTATATAGTTAAAAAACTTCGCTTATATCTGATGTGGCTCTAATTTAAGCGCGTTTAGTGCTTCAATCATAGGAAGCATAAATTATTCTTCACTGTAAATTATCTTACCTGATGGTATCCACAGGCTCAGATCCTCGGTCCATTACACATCCAACTGGCTTAAACCCAGACTCTAAGCAACGAGCTTCGTACATAGATCGAGCGGCATACCAGACATATTTGGAGAATCTATACTTTCCCAATAATTTAGAATAATCCAACTGAAGAGTGCTAGACTTATTCCTAAAATACCAAAAAAATTATAGATGAGAAGTAAGTTCATGACAATGATTTGGAAACAGTTATCTACGTTACAAAACAATATTCCACTACACTTCCAAGTGAGCGCACAAATGCAAATAAACTTAGAAGGACAGATTGTGAGGAAAATCTTGGCGATATTTAACGCAACGGCTCACTAAATATGAATTACAGAACTCTTAACTTTTATTTACTGAATATTTCTTCTTGCCAGGGCAGAACTCCCGGCGTTGGTCTACCCTTAAAACATACGCCATGCATTCGACTTCATCAGTAATCGTCAGGGATGAACGAAAGCATATCTGGACCGATTATCGATTCAGTGGTTCTATCCTTCTAGACATGTGGTACCAATTTATCGACCCCGGGAGGATGAAAGGCATGGTTAGCTCGCGAAGTGATATTGAATCAAAAGCCGCATACATGTTGCAGCGCACCTCTAGTCATCGCGCTACACGCGCTCCTCAAGGTTATAATGTCAAAGAAAACCATATAGATGCTAAGATAGCAGCAGAACTCGGAGCATTAGGCTGGCTTCGAGCGCATGATTACCTTTGCCGGCTTCTCATGTGCAACCCACGTCACCAACCAAGGCCGTTGCTTTGCCTGTCATATGGTCAGTATTTCTTTTTACCCTAAAGGAGCTATCAGCAATCACCCTTCAATGGGGTTGATCTGTGGAACACAAATCGGCATTGAACCCAGTCAAGCAAAAGATACAGACTGAATCACAATCTATCAACTTATTTGTTTTGTTCTCAAAAGTGTTTTAGCAAAGTAAGGACCTCGGTTGCTGTGGTGAATACAACGTGATCGCCGTTAAAGGTGATCTCAAGTTCGAAGCCCAAATGAGGTTCCGAGTTTTCTCCAGATCTCAGCATACCTATTTATTGCAGATTTTCATATTCACTGCAATGATAATGTCAACAATTTTTAAAAAACACGGAAGTCCTTGTGTATGCATTACCGACTGTCGGTGTTATATGTGGTCACTAACCCTGCTGATGTCTTGGCTTTGGGATAAATCGTTCGACGAAAATTCTAAAAAAGTTAAGGAATAAGTCAGCTAAAGATCTAATCCAAGGTTAATGAATTTAAAAGCTGATGCGAGTTCAGCTGTTCTTCTAGAATGCTCATCTCATTTTTGTTCACGTTTCCTACATCGGCCGTTGGTCATGAAAACTGCGATAATGAACGGATCACCTCTAAGACGAAGGAAAGAAAAGTTTATTCTGGTATCCAAATATTGCAACTTTGAATCCTTTCGTAGTCCCCTTTGTTGGAAATGGATTAGAGCGTCAAGTAGAATGATTTGTTGCTTCAAGTAAAATAGCAATAACGAGTTGATTGATTCTTCGTTTCGTTGATCCTTTGCTCTCGTAACACCGTGGATTAACTAAATGGGGTGAAATGTGGTCGATCTTGTTTGTAGAATTTGTACAGGAATCGTAAATTGCGTAAGAGAAAGTGGAATCTTAATCGAACAAAACTGAGGCGAAAGAATTCCATATTCCGTAGCAATCGTTCCACCTAACCTGGACGATATCTGCATAGGATGCAAATGTGGTCAACGTTATCAGTGGTGCTATAATTATCCCATTAGCATACAATTTCAATGAATCCTAGGTTCTGGTCCGCGATAATAGTGCAGAAGGACACTGGGTTGAGCGCCAAGATCTCGAAATCCAGCTTGACCGAACATATGATGACAGCGGACAAAAACAATGGACATCAGCAATTAGCAACTGGTTAGGAAGAACCTAAGTAGCAGAGCAAAAAGATCACTAACCATTTATTCTTGGTTCACCCTAAGAGGTTAAACGAAGAGTGCGATTGTGTTCGTCCTCCACAGCGGATGATGAAAAGCCGTTAGACGTTGGACAACTCTGGCACACAGCGGAGACGATTGTGACGTCTACCTTGTCCCAGTGGTTGTATTGAAATATAACAGAACTTCTGCTTACCTAGTTTAGTCTAACCGATGAATGCCTGTAAATTTCCCTTCCCCACTAATCTATGAACTTGCTTGTACTCCTAAACTGGATGGAGCTTTGTTAGAGTGGTCCAAGAGATAGTTTTGAAGAGGATGTGATAGAACATTTCTCAGACGGAGCAATCTTATAAGGCTGATTTAAAGCATATTACGGCACACACGAATGGTTACATTAGATTAGCAGCATACCAGGAGCTCTTAGAGAAGGTTTGTCAGTGCATTATGGGAAAGTTTTCGAAGAAGTTTGCCCTTAAGAGGTGACAAAACAATGCTAGGCAATTACGTAACTAGATGGAAAATTTTAAGATTTATAGACAACCCTTGGATACTTGGACCTCATTAATTGTGCGCGCCTCAGCATAATTTCCACTTTTTCGGAGTTTCGCTGGTTTAGCCATTGTGGTACTCTGGAATTCCGAGGTCGGCCTAGCCAAAGACCGCTCCAGGTCATCACCGCCACACGAAGTCGCTGTCCTTGTGGATCAGAGTAACATTTACCACTATGCGACTACCTTGATACCAGGACGGTGGTGACTCCTGATATTGGTTTAGTATTATCTGGGCATCCTGTTGGGAGCTCCGGACTCCTTCTCGGCTTGGGAGACCCTGCCTGGGGGTGAGGCTCCTCGCTGTACATCACAGCCCGACACCGAGGGCCCTCCCATCCACGATGTGGCGGTAAACCGTTTGGAGGTCTATAGAGAATACTCTATATAAGTAAGATTATTATAAAAAATTATGTTCGTATTTTTTTGAGCAAACGCGAGGTGTTATTGTTCTTTGTTCACGATTAAGCTGACGTTTCGGCGAATTTCGCCT